CACGGTGCTGCACAGCCAACGCTGCGGGGCGTGCGTGGAGGGCAGGGACGCTCGGGGGGGTTCACGGACTCGCAGCACGAGCAGCACCTGGAACTTACTCCAAATGCAGATTCTCGAGCTGTACCTCCTAATGCGGTGACTTGGCCAGGTGGAAACACATTCCCCGGAATTCATTTCCCTGTATGTTTACAGGTAGAGTGAGCCCCAAGAGTCGTTCTGGGGTGAGATTTGGAGGAATTGAAGTGGCAGCCATTTTTTTTGTTTTTTTTTTGCACGCTTGGGCCCTGGAGCAGGTGCATCTGTAGCTCACACTGGCGCTTTTGTGCATGCAGCGCTCTATGTTCCCGTGATCCCTTCGGCTTCTCCCAGGCCTTGGGCCGCAGGTGTTTTTAGCTCCGTGGTGAAGGGTGCAGTTCCTCCTGCAGGAGACGCACATCATCAGGACTGCAGACAGCGAGACTGCCCTGTCCCTGCTGGTCCTGGCTCTCCCCTCTTCCATCCACCTTCCCTTCCCAGATGCCTGCCCAGGGGCAGGGGTGGGGAAGGGGGGGGTCCCAGGCTCCAGCCGCAGACACGGGGACAACAGTCTCACAGACTGCTGGCCCAGCTCCCCGTTATGTAAGGTCAAGCCTGTGTGTGCGTGTGTGAAAGATCTCCTGCTGGCCTGCCCCTCTCCTGAAAGCCTGGCTAATACTCCTACCGATCAGAAACCCTGGAGCTCAGCAATCCGTTTTAACCAGTCCTCTAGGTGATTCTGACACATGTGGAAGTTTGAGAACCACCGATGGAGGGAAACTTTTTATAGTTATGTGAGCCTAGAACCTACCTTTTTACATCTATATGAGGACAGTTTTAATATATCTGAATTTCCCAGAAACTCAACTACTATATAAAACTAGGGAAAAGAGTACATTCTTTTGTTCAGAACTTTCCCAAGTGTTTATTTAAGTAAACTCTACCCCCAACTCTACCCCTCGAACTCACGACCCCAAGATCAAGAGTCGCACGCTCCACGGACCGAGCCAGCCAGGCGCCCCTTACCAGTTCTGAAAAATCATGTCATCGACTCTTTGGTGTGTGTCACAAATACAGCACACCTGTATCAGTCCGTAGTTGTAGCTGTCCTGTTCTCAATGATTTTACAGAGCAAGCATCTGATTACATCCCTATGCAGAAGTGTGAACGTTTATGTATTGTATTGTACACATTCTTTTGTAGTTCTACTCGTTTTAAAATGTAAGTACTCAATTTTCCCTGTAAAATTTTATTTCAGAACAGTAAATGGGTGTTCACAGAAGGCATGTTGGAGCTGACAGTGTTGTGGGCCACTGTCTTATATTAATAACTGAGCTTGAGCAAGAGTGTGTGTGTGTGTGTGTCTGTGTGTCTATGAGCACAGTTTCTGGGCCACATTTTGGTATTATGATTATAGGAATTGGCTAGTTCCCCAGATTTTTTTAAACGAAAATGTCTCTAGTTGGGACACCCGGGTGGCTTAGTTGGTTAAGCATCTGACTGGCTCAGCGTCCTGGGATTGAGCCCTGCATCGCACTGGGTTCTGCGCTAAGTGGGGAGTCTGCTTCTCCCTCTCCCTCTGTGCCCCTCTCCCTGCTTGTGCTCTTTCTCTCTCAAATAAAATCTTAAAAAAAAAAAACAAACAACCCAGAAAGAAAATGTCTCTAGCATGAGAATTTGCTCTTCTTTAAAAGTTTGAAAAAAATTGTAACCACAAAATTGCCCCACCACCAACGTCCTTTTTGGTGCTAGTCCTTCAAGTTTTAATTGTTTTTAAAGATTTTATTTTTTGACAGAGGGAGAGACAGCGAGAGAGGGAACACAAGCAGGGGGAGTGGGAGAGAGAGAAGCAGGCTTCCTGCGGAGCAGGGAGCCCGATGTGGGGCTCGATCCCAGGACTCTAGAACCATGACCCGAGCAGAAGGCAGATGCTTAACGACTGAGCCCCCAGGCGCCTCTCCAAGTTTTTCTTTCTTGAGTACTGGAGAATTCAGATTTTCTACTAAAAAGTAGTTTACAAATATCAGTTTTTAAGAAAATTAACTGTATCTTGAGCTTTTCAAATTAACATAGAATTTTACACATTGTTCTCTTATAATGTTTTTTTTTTTTTTCCTTTTTCTTGTTTAATTCGTGGAGGTTTAGATGTGGTGCCAGTCATCTGTTTGTCCTCAGATCCATCCCGGTTCCGTCCCCCCCCCCGCTCTGTACTGCAGGTGCAGGCTACCCTGCTGGTGAGCTCCCATCACAGCTGGTCCACGGCACAGGCAGGCTATGGGAGGGCCAGGGGACCTCTCCCGTCTCTGTACTTCCTGCAGTCTTCGGCTGTCTCCTCTGCAGGCCCAGCCCCGGCCAGCAGGACTGCCGTGCTCCCCCCTTCCCACTGGGAGGCCCCGCTCTTCACCTCTGGTCACACCCACACCCCACCCCTTTGTCCCTCTGCCTAACTTCCTGCTGTGCTCTTCTCTCATGGGGTCCCACCTTCCCCTGCATCCTTTCAGATGCCTCATAACTGAATTCCTGCAGCTGAATTACTCGGTGTGGGTTCAGTCTTTCTAGCTGGACCTTGACTGACTGATAGGCATTTTATCACTATTTTTCAGCAAAGCAGCTTTTGAATTCATGCATCATTCTACTATTTTCTAAATGACTCATTTCTGCTTTTATCTGGTGAAATAATAGAGCTTAACCTGCGGTATGCTGTAGTATTTGCCAATTTCTGTGGGTAAGTATTTCCATCATGGCCGATTTCAACAGTCAGTGTGACGTCACTAACAGAGCCAAGAAGAGCTCTACAGGATCAGTTCTCACGAGGGAGTGGGGGGTGTGGGGAGAGGACAGAAAGAAGACTTTAGAAAAATGGTAAAAATGATCACATCTTGAAACTGAATATTTTAAATTAAACTTCTCCAATATTTAACACTCCCTCAACTTCATTGTTAAATAAAAAAGACATTTCATTTGAAAATTTCTCAGGTTTTTCTAGCTTCAAAATAATTCCTAAGTGCTATGAATTGACTTGTGCCCCCGCCCCAAATTCTTATGTTGAAACCCTAACCCCCCACGTGACAGTATTTGCAGATAAGGCCTTCAAGAAGTAAGTAAGGTTAAATGAAGTCATGGGGGGGGGCACTAATCCGAAAGGACTGGTGTCCTTGTAAGAGGAACAGAGACCAGAGCGCTCTCTGCAGGGCCGCAGAGCGGCCCATGAGCACACAGAGATGGTGGCCCTATAAGCCACCTGAAGAGGCTTCCGAAGGAAACGTGCTGGCACCTGGGTCTTGGACGTCCAGCCTCCAGGACTGTGAGCAGCGAAGCTTCTGCTGTGTGAGCCCTTAGTCTGTGGTGTTCTGTTAGGGCGGCCCGAGCTGATGGATACAAGTGTGCCCACTGACGGCCAGCAAGCCAGAGCCCATGATGGTCACAGAGCTTGTTTGGGGGACAAAAAAGTTTTGGAACTAGAAGTGGTGATGGTTGTGCAACACTGTGAACGCACTTAATTCTACAGAACTGTACACTTAAAAATGAAAAAGACTGGCAAACTGTTACATATATTTTAACCACAATCCTTAAAAATAACATACCCAAACCACCAAACTGTACACTTTCCATGCGTGAGTTGTATGGTATGTGAATTATATTTCAATAAAATTATTTTTTAAGAACTCAGAGCCCAAACTGACGAGTCATCAAATAATTTCAAAAGCAAACTTGCTGAAAATTCCTTAACAAGTGTGCCAGTGAGAAATTCTATGTAACAGGAATGCAGGTACACTTTAATATTTGCTATGGGCCACCAAAAAGAGACGTCCATTGGGTCTACTCCCCTGGGAGGGCGGGGACAGGTGTGGGAAAGCACCAACCTGGCGCAGGTGTCGTGTCCCAGTACGGACCACCCAAGAGAGCGGCCATCTAATCTCTGCGGCAGGGGAACTGGTGAGAACACCCATCTCCCCACCCCAGCTATTCTCATCTTGAGAAATATTTGCCCCCAAACATTTAAATACATGAGGAGTCTCAATTTCACACATCCAGGAAGTAAAAAACTACAAGTAGAGAACTACAAGTCATGATTTTTCACTTATCAGACTGGCAAAGGCCAAAAAGCCACTAGGGAGACTTGGCTGGTGAGGGAAGAAAGACGGGCAGACCCATCCCTGCTGCCATCACAAGGGGCACAATCTCCGGGGAAGGCACCCTGGCCGTATTTATAGAACCTAAAAACGCACGGATCCTCTGCCTTAGCAATTTTAATTTTAGAAATTTATCCTACAGGCTTTTGTTCATGGATACAAACGTTCACGCTATTTATAACAGTGAAAGATCAGAACATTTTCAGTGCCATTTAACAGGAGACTGGGTATACAAATTATGGTTCGACTGCACACCGGTCCCACCCCACGTACTGCCGGGGGCAGGAACCACTCTGCTACTTTTGTGTCTCCTGAACTGGGTCATCAGGCCACCTTCATCAGCTGTCCAAAGCAATAATGTTTTACAATTTGGCAACTTGGTAGGTAAAAAAGGGCATAATCTTGTTTTAATTGTTATTTCCTTCATTGCTACTGGGGTTGACTTTTTTTATGTTTATTGCCCCTTGTACATTTTGAGTTCTGTAAAAATTAAGTTCACAAAACGCGTTTACAGCATTTGTTGTTTTTTTTTTTCACTCTTGATATTGTGAATACAGACAGGAATAAAACACTGTCATTCTACACTTGGGGGGAAATGGGGCTCCCGGCTCTAACAGGGGCTACCAAATATTTATTGTGCTATGCATCCTGGTTTTTAATCCATCCCTTCTAACTTTCCCAACAATCCTGAGAGGTAGCTCTTATTATGCTCATTTTACAAATAAAGAACCTGGGGGCAGAAGCTGGCTGACTTGCCCAAGGCCACTTGGCTGGTAACAGGGACCTAAGTCAGTACCTTGTTCTACAGCTGCTCCTCTTCTTCGTCGAGGCCTGGGCAGGAAGACGCTGGAGTCAGCAGGCCGCACGGAGGTCCACCCAGTCCCACACATGCAGAGACGCGTCGCTTGCTGCCGATAAGAGAGTCCGTGGTTTGTGTGGGTGCCAAGTGTGGGTAGTGACCAGTGGAGCACTGTCCATCTGGCTGCCCTCCAGGAAGATGTGACCTCTGTGAGTGAAGAGAGGTTCTACTTGGCTCCCCACTCCATCCCAAGATGTGGCATCATAGACCTGGACTGTCCCATCAAAACCTAAGGAAGAATGAGAAAAGAGAAGATTGACACTGCAAAGTAATTTTTATTGTTTGTTTTTTAAGTCATCTCTATGCCCAAACATGGGGCTTGAACTCATGACCCCGAGATCAAGAGTCCACACCCCGACTGAGCCAGCCAGGCGTCCCTAAAGTAATTTTTATAGTTTGCTCTTCAGCACCAAAACAGGTTATAGGATGAGAAATCAAGTAATAACAAGATGCTTAAGGCCAGGGGCACGTGGCAGGCTCAGTCTGTAGAGCATCTGACTCTTGATCTTGGGGTCATGAATTTGAGCCCCACATTGGGTGGCGATTACTTAAAAAAGAAAAAGATGCTTAAGGCCAGCTGAAGGGCACGTAAGCTCCGCCCTCGATGTCGGCAGCTGATGACTCCATAGGGCAGGTGACAGTGTACTTCTGCTGTTCATCTGGTATCTGCCAGGCCCGAGGCCAACCCTGGACATGCGTTCTTTTAATCCTCACAACTGTATGAAATAGGTACTATTATTTTCCCCGGGGAAACTGAGGCTTAAGAGACTCTTTCAAACCTTTTCCACTTGCCTCAAATTCTAATCCCTCTGCATCTGGATCCCTGTCAGCAGATGGCCTTGCCTCCTGCTTGATGGGGGAAAACAGAAGCCTTTATGGAGGAGCACCCACATGTCCCCCCACCACCTAGCTACACCCACACTCACTCCATCCTGCTGACTTCTTGCCACCAAAGAGACAGTTCCTCCACCAAGCTTGGTTCTCTCCTTCTGCTCTTTTTGGATCCTGCCATTATCAATGATCTTTTCTTACTCTCGCGACTATTCTTTCAACCTCTCCCCTTCCATGGGTCCTTCCCGTTGACTTTTAGATACCCTCATTATTAGAGACCCTCAGTCAGCTAGAAACTGCTGGGCCAGACCCAGGAGCCTGCTGACCCAGCAGCTTGCTAGAATTCGAAAAGCTAGCAGACCAAGAAGCACTTCTGTGGTCTTCTCACCTCCTCCTGGTACTGCCCCGTGACTAGCCTATGCCTCGCTATCTGCAGGCCTCTCGCCAACCTCAGCACTGAATCCCTGCTCAGGTAGGAATGCCTGCTACCAATGTCAAAGTTCAGTAGCTAGAACGGGGAAGGGCCTGCCATGGAAGAACCTGGAGGGTTGATCTGGAGCCTTTCTGGGAGGGACTTTCACTTCTGGGGCCAGATTTATTACGGGGCTGCAGGCTCCTTCCTGAGCACTGTACGGTTCCCTGGGAGAGAGAGCTCAAGTAATAGACACAAAATACTGCTCGGCAGTACCTGAAATGGCCAAACAGTTGTCCAGGCCTGGCGCCCAGGTCACTCGCAGCAGCTCTGGGTCGGGGCTGGGTGCAGACACTGAGCACCGGACGGAACTCACAGGATGGCCGAGATGCCGGGGATCCAGAAGACAGAGTTGCCCGTCTGAGCCAAGGCTGGCAATACTGGGCCCAGGGCCCCGGCCCCCAACTTCAGCACACCACCTCCCTCCAGCAGCCCCAAGGTTGGGGCTGACATTCTCTGATGGCGCCCACTTCTGGCGGATGTCGACAAGCCCCAGCCGGCCTGAGGAGCAGCAGAAGGCAAAGGTGTCTGCATCCAGGACCTGCAGGCTACTTAGCTCCTCACTGTCACTGACCCCTGGAAGACAGAGGGTGACAGAGAAAAGTGCTGGAGTCACAGGAGTCTGCCTGGTCACACACCCCTTCCTCTGGAAGCTTCCCACCAACGCCAGGCACCTTGCCATGCCCCACCCAGCTGGGATGCTGCTGGTCCCGGGACTGCCTCTTCGAGCCCCAGAACGGAGGGCCCTTGAGGCTAGGGCCTGCCTCGCACCCATCTGGTTTCCCCAGCACCTGGCCCGCGCGGGTGAACTCAGTTCGTCACACAGCTGAGGAGGATGGAAGTGAGCAGGAGACGCCAGGCAAGGGGTGAACGGCTGTGGTACCTGAGGTGTATGTGGTCTTCTGGGATTCCAGATCCACGACCTTCAGACTGCTGAGCCTCACCCCGTGGAGGACTCCGGGTACCATCGAAGAGAAGATGGCCACCCTGGGCCAGAGACTGCCCTCCTTCTCCTGCACAGCAATGGTGCTGACGGCTTGAATGACGTCTGGGGGAAGGAAAGCACAAGAGGCTAAAATCCGGGATGCTAACGAAGGCCTGAAACATTACAAGGTGAAGGCCAGCCAGCAGTCTTCCCTTGTACATGTAGAAGGTCAAGGAGGAAAGGGGGCTGATAGCTGGCAAGAGAGGACATGAGACATAAACGCCCTGGATTACATTCACATTTCTGAAACTGTCAGAAGCACTTTAATTCCTTTCTAATTTGTCTTACAGTTTTGCAAACAGGAGATAATGAATCATAGCAGCCATCTCAAAACCCCAAAAGCATTCTGGCTTTTTATAGTTTCACAAAGAACAAATAAAGATAGAAAAAAGCAAAGAACACACTTAAGATGTCACTTACACCTTAAGTGAAAATAACAGGTACAGAGTTCATGAACTAATAGTATTTCTTCAAGCACATGTTCCATGACCTCAAGCAACGTGCGGATGCCTAGCCGGTAAAGGTCACAACACCCACGTCTCCAAATGGAAACCGGGCAGAAGGGTCCACATCGTTGTTGCACCGAACGGAGGAAGGACACGCTTGACCTCAAGCTGGATCCAGTTTCAGGTGTCTGCTCAGCCTGCTTGGATCTCACCTCTGCATTCTACACTGGAGGCTTCTCTTGGTGGCAGCTGCTTAGAGCCGTTTGCTGTACAAACTACTTAATGGGAGATATGTATTTCCATTTTATATTTTCTTGCTCCAAGAGAGGCTCATTATTTGGTCATCACATTCTCTGAAGAAAATGGACATCTATCTATTTTTTTGATTCTAAAGCACAGGAGAAAGTCAGACTGAGGAAGGAATGGATGAGAAGGAATACTAACATGGCTTGGCAAGCAAGCACAAGGCGGTGAGCTCCCTTGAGACTGTTCCCATCCAAGGAAGGCACAAGGCACGTGTCTGGGCTGGGCTAGAATGCAGAAGGCCCTTGGGTGTTGCTGCAAAGGCCCACGGACTCCCAGTGCCCTAGAGCTGGACTTGCTGAACTCAATCATTCCTTCCACACAGGCTGCGGGGGTTTGGAGCAGACAGGACCGCTGAGCCCCGGGACTAGAGTTTGTCTCTGGGGAGTGCCGGCGAGGCTGTGATTCAAACCCGCCCGGGCACAGCGCACCTGCCTCTCCTGGGCCACACGTGAGCGGCTCCCTCTTCCCTTTCCACGCACTCTTGAGGGGCCTAGAACAGATTCGCCAGGGCCTACCACTCTGAGCCAGGGGATGGTCCTCAGATATGATCTGTCCTCTGATGGGGGAAAGGAGGCGGCCGAGGGAAAGCCTTCAAAGACCTATTTCAAAGATGCGGTGGAAAATTTCAGAGCCTCCTGACTGGAGAGTTGCTCTGTAATTATAATCAGAAAGAAATGCAGCCTTCCTCCTCCTCCTCTCTCTGGTCCGTGGTAAAACGCCCTCCTCCGGGGAATCCATACCACATTTAGCAAACCAGCCCCAAATGGAGAAGAGAAACGACTAGGAAATCAAAGCAAAAGACACAGTGAGACACCTCTAAGAACTTGGCCATAAAAGAAGGTTGTGTCTGAGGATTCACCCAACACAGAACAGGTCAGAGCAGAGGTACGCACACTCCCTAAGGAGTCAGAATGGTGCCCACACCTCCAATAGTGAGCAAATGTATTAACACATCTAAAGGACACTGGTATCCATGAGAGGGGGTTGTCCAGCCATGGGGGCGAAGAAAACACTGGGGCCTGTCCAGGGTGGAGGGAGCCACACCAGACTGAACATTGAGCTTCAAAGTGGATACAGCAGGTGACATTCAGCTGAGACCTTTAGATATGTATTCATCCAACTCAAAGGTTTCCACAGCCCGTTAGGAGAGAAAAGGCCTCAGACGCTACTCCAGGGGCCTGGATGGCACCAAGGCCTGGGCAGCAATGCCTTCCCAAGTTTTATACTTTGTGCCGAAGACCGCTTATGAAAACACAATTTGGAAACCTCTGAGCTGATTCTTCTTGTTACGGTTTTGTTTATCACGCAGTCTTCGATGAGGTCAGGTTTTCCATAGACAAACAGTAAGGACCTGGAATGTCCAATTTCAGGGACACTTATTTTTTTACTTATGAACTAATAAAACTGCATTCTGGTTTACAGCAGTCTTGTGAGTCTGGTGAGTACGTCTGCCTCTATAAACAGATTCGTTTAGGATGTGCTAACAAAATCAGGTTTTTGAGACATCAAAGCTGTGGGTCAACACTTGGACTTTGGAAAATTCACCTTAGATAACACTATGCTTTTTCAGCTTCTAGGAAAACAGCTGGTCAACTTTCCCCAGACTCTGGAATATTCTGCACTAGTATCTAGGGAAAGAGAACTCTTTATCTTATTTGCTACTCTCATAGGAGTGTCAGAGCAAGCCCCCTTGGGCTATTAGCTCCCCTGGGCCTGGGGCTATAGTATGGTACTCCAGACACTGTCTGGATAAAAGGCAGCTCCGGGCGCCTCCACACGGTTAGGGAGACTCTGCTCCCTCTCTTTTTTAAGCAACTGCTGTCCCACATGGCCTATTTTTAGGCAAAGATAAAAAACTACAAGTTACTGGCATAAGGACAGACATGAAGATCAATGGAACAGAACTAAGAGTCCAGAAATAAATCCACGTATTTATGGTTAAGCAACCATCTTTCAATAAAGGCACCAAAGCAAGGGGCAGTTCCAAGAGTGGTGGCCTGTGCCTCTGAGGCACACTTCCATTCTGGCCAACGATGCTCTAACGGAAGCAGAGATGGAAAGGGCTGATCAGGGCCGCCCGCTCTTGGTGCCTGCCTGGCAGGGAAACCCACAAACCCACTGCTGGAGGGAAGGCTATTCCGCGTGAACGAATTCCCCTTCCCTCCTGAAGGGAATAGGATAACACTTCCGGCTCCTTTTCCCATTCCCGTTAGGGAGTAGACTGACTTCATGAAGCGGGAGACTGGTAGGCTGAGCCTCTTGCTCCCTCATTATTTTCCATCCCTGAGACGAGCATGCCTACAAAGCGAGGTGACCTCCTTGCCTCTGCCCCCGCCTGGGGGAGAGGCACGGGGTACGCCAGGTTCTCTGTCCATGACTGGGTAGGTGAACTGAATTCCGGAAGCAAGTTGCAGGAAGCTCCATCTGGGAGCTGTATGCCACGCTGTGGTCGCTAACTCATTTTTGCCCATGTTAAAGTAGACACTACATTTTAATTCCCACCTGGCTCTGTGACTACTTCTTACCTGGCTTAGATTAGGGGGTAGGGGTGTATGGGTATCAGGCTTCCCCACAACCCAGCCCTACCAAGTCAAATTCACTCACCACTGTCCTCTGTGACCTGCCACACATGCAGGTAAGAACCCGGAAGACCAGTGGTTACCAGCAACCTATTCGTAACAGACAGAAGGATCAGTCCAGCGAGTGGGGAGCTCACCCACATACCCCCAGCCTTTTCCCTTCCCAGCCCACTCAGCTTGGGACCTCTACACTCCCCATACCAGGAAAGCTTGCTGCAGGAAGAGATCATCAAGACCAGCCATCCTCATTTCACAGATGAGGACAGGCTCACTCCACTTGAGGGACAGACCCAGAGCTCCTGGAGGGCCACGGGACAGAGCCCAGGCTTCCACAGGACATGATGTATCCAAGAGGGGACACCAGCATGGAGCCTGAACACACAACCCTAACCTGGAGACTCAGCCTCTGCCAACAGAGCTATTAGTCCCAACTACCCACCACCAGTGCTCTGAGAAACTAAGGGCATCCTTCTACTCTCTATTCCCTGGAACAACTCCAGTGATCTAGGGGTTACATTAGTTCAAAGGTCTGTGGTCTGTGTGGGACCATCAAGTTACCAAACAACGAGGGTTTCTTTTATATTCCAAATCTGGGTGTGTGTGTGCTTATGCGCTGAGGGGGTAGGGGTAGATGGTGGTGCTAAAGAGGGAGGATACCCCTGACAGCTCCAGCCACACCATCCTGAATGGAAGGTCTGGGTCGCAGAGCTGACCATACCTGGTGTCTGGCACGTGCTTCAGATCAAAGACAGACGTGTCTGAAAATCCTCCGTGGCACACCTTGAAATCTCTTTCTGGGCATAAGCCCTAAAATACAAAGGGGCGGCCCATCAGAGAGCCTGCTTTCCAAAGGAACACTTCGATGAGCTCTAGGTCAGATGCCGGCACGAAGCCCCTTGCTGACAAAAGATGCTTCCCCCTGCCGGGCCTTGGTGTGCTGCTACCTGTAAATGTTGGTCTCAGCTGCCTACACAGCTTCCCTTCCTTCCTGCACATCCAAAACCCTTCTCCCAACCTTTCCCCGGGCCCTTTCATGAGAGCACAAGTGTTACACTCCAGGCCTTAGAGGAGTCACCGAAGCTTCATAGCTTCATCCAAGACAGCTGGAACGTATCAGTCAACTACCCTGTCCCCATTCCTCCTGCACCTCCCACTGGAAGTCAGGTGGGTCCTTCTAGCAATAAAAATGTAACCACCACCAATTATCCAGTGTTCACTGTGTCAGGCACTGTGTTCAGTGCTTTATCTACTTTATCACATTGAACTCTTACAACTACCCTGTCATGTATGTACTGTAATGACCCCTATTCTAAAATGACAAAACAAAGGCACAGGGAACTTAAGCAACTTTTCTAAGGTCACACACGGATTATGTTGTGGATCTGAACCCAAGTCTGTCTAACCAAAGTTCATGCTCTCAGCCACTAGACTCCACTCTCTCCATATGAGGGACTGGAAGCAGAGAGAAAGCAGGTAGCCATAAGAAAAAAAAGAGGAAAGCCAGGCATGAGGTAGGAGGTAAATAAGGTGTCTCCTCAAGGCTCAGTGTGGGTGAGTGAGCTCCTGGCTCAAGCCTGAGTGGTGGGGATTGGGGAGCTCAAGAGCACCAGGCAGGAAATCCCCCCCCAGGGCAACAAAGGCCAGGCTGTCCTCAGATGAGATTGAGTGATTTTATAGCAACATCACACAGCTACCCACTCTTTTCTTCTTCACACATTCTCTTCTCTTGGCTTCTGAAACACTGCCCTTTTCTGAGACTCCTACTTCAAAGACTATTCCTTCTTAGTATCTTTTGTGGGTTCATCTTCCTTTAACCATTTCTGCAATGTATTCCCTAAGGTTTGGTCTTTAGACATTGTCTGCTTTTATTCCTTATACACGACACTGTCATCCTAGGTGATCTTAATCATTCTAAGGGCTTCAACCACCCTCTATACTCTAATGGCTCCCTAAATCTATTTTTGATAAAGTAAAATTGACCTCTTCCTCTAGGAGCCCTCTGTAAACCTCAGACATCCTGTAGCACTTACCTCTGGTGCATCCCTGCCTCCCCGCGAGACAAGCAGGGCGGGACCAGTGCTTGTCCCTTTCTCTGACTAGTATCCAGGACAATACCTAGTAGACAGAGAAACTCTCTAAAGGTTTAATAAATGAATAAAAAGTAGACGTGTATACTCAGCGTTTGTATTTCACGTTACCTGGTTTTCTTTTACAGAAAGTCTGAGAGGTAGTATGAGATGAAGAATCTCGTTTTTTTTCAGGCTTTCATAGCCAGCAACAAAGACTCCTGGAAAAAGAAGCAGAAGTAGCTGCGACAAACTGCTAGAAAGATCCTGGACCATGGCTGGGTCTAGAAATTTCACCAAAACCTCCAAAGCAAAGATAAATTCCTCCACCGTTGGTATGCACCCTTGTATTGGGGAATGGAAGGGATCTAGATCTTACTAAGAGGAAGGTTAAGTGCTGACGGGGCTGAAATTGCTACAAGACCAAGAGGAGGCCTCAGACTCCCAGAAGTGTGGGTTGGGTCCCTCCCGGCTTAGCTAGCAATAAGAGGTCCAGCCTGAGGAGTAAGAGTCCATCTCCTTCAGGGCCAGGCAGGGCAAGATCACCTTTGTCACCAATCCATTCAAGGACTCGAGTGGCTCCCGAAAGGTCGAATGCATGGAAATCTTGGTACCTGCATGATAAAGACACAATGTCACACGGTGCATAGCACTCTACATCTGTTTAAAACTCTGAGACAGCGGCACGGTTCGGTGGGTGGGGGCCCAGGCTCTGGAGCAAAGCAGACCTGGGAGCAGGTCTTGTTGCACATTTTAGCGCCCGTGTGACTGCGACCAGGCCGGTCACAGTTATCCCTGAGCTTCGGTCCCCATCTGTAAAATGGAACTCCCAGAGCACCTGGGCTTCCCAAGGCTGATGTGAGGAATCACTGAGATAATCTGCTCAAGGTTTCACTCAGGCTGGCGCAAAATAACGGGTCACTTGGGTGATTATTATCCTCCACGACCACGGCTCTTAACTGGCACCACACACATGCTGCGCCCACGGGGAGGTGCCGCTTCCCAGACGCCGGAGCCCACTTCCAGGCGGAGCGCTCGGTGTCGGCCCCGTCCCACTGCCAGGCCGGCCCAGCCCACACCGGGGCTCCCTGGGCACTCCACCCCGCGCCAGTTCGCCCAGCCCCGCCAGCTCCAGGACCAGGGCCCATGTCCCAGGCCCACAGCATTTACAAACGCAAGGATTCCACCAGCCAGTCCTCCGCGGACTCCATGGCAACGCCGCTTCCGGTGCCCCACTTCCGGTGCCCCACTTCCGCCGCCCCACTTCCGCCTCTGAGGACCTTCCTCGGCAGCCGCGGCCCTCTCGCGAGGAGTGGGAGCGGCCGGCTCTGGCTGGGAGGCGTGGTCCCACCCCAGGGGGCGGGGCAGAGAGGAGCCTGAGCCCCTCCACCAGCGCGCAGGGCCCTCGCCGGGCTGGGTCCGGGAGCCTAACGGCAAAAGCTCCGGGGGCGAAAATGACGTAAGATCAGGGGTTCCCAGGATGTCAGTTTCGGGCGGGGCCTCGGGGACCAAATACCCGCCCGTTTCACGACCGAATATTTGCAGATCAGAGGGTCAAGCCCAGATAAAATACAGGATGCTCGGTTAAATTCGAATTTTAGATAAACTAATGAGTAATTTTTTTGTGTATGTCCATGCAATGCTTAGGACATCTCATATGAAAAAATTATTCATTGTTTATATGAAATGAGAATTTAACTGAGCGTCCTGTATTTTTATGCGCTAAATCTGGCAACCCTACCCAAGGCCAGAGAAGAGAGTAAGCGGACAGCGAGGTCTGGACCCTAGCTCGGCTCACTCCCTTGTATGCCCTGGGCACTCCCCTCAAAGCCTGGCATGGGGATGAAATGGAATGGGGTCAGCAAAACCCCATCTTGTAGTGGAGGCAGCTCCCTCGTCCAGGCGAGGAAACACGAGAGACTTGCCTGTGCGGGAAGGTGGCAGAGGGGAGAGTAAGAGCCCAGCACCTGGCCCAAGACCTGGCGGATACAACAGGCACTGAGTACCTGCTTGCTGAATGAGCGACTGAATAGGAGTCCCGAGCAGGCTGGTGTCATGAAGTTTTCTTGGCTCTTTCGAGCCAGCTCTGTCTCACTGAACATGCCGTCCTCCAGCCCCCTTTCCCTCCCGTGCCCTCAAATGTGGCTGGAAGGAGAGGCCCAGACATTCTACATAAAAAGCAGGGTTTTATTCACAACTTCAACACGGAAGCAAGAAATACAGCAGGGACATAATTTGTGTCTGCATGGGCAATATTCCTGGCGACACAACCAGAAATCACAGTAATGGAGTAAAAGATACTTGAGCCCAGGGTTTACATCCAGATGGGGCCACCGCCAGGGTCCCGCTCAGCACCTTCCCTGGGTGGGCGCAGTCTAAGTCACGGCGGCGTCTCTTCCTCATTAGGGGCATCCCTTCTGCAGCATCTGCACCAGCGGCCTCCTGTACTGAACGGGAACACACAGAATTGACCTGGGCAGAGGGGGCACATGACAGGGGCGTCCTGCCATTCCTATGTGTGAGGCATCCACAGAGGTAGGCAGGGGCAGGCTCTCTGCTCAGGCAGGCCCCCCTGGCACCTTTCCCCCTGAAGAAGGCCTGGAAGGGGTCGGGGCAGTGGTATTCTCAGAGTGCTTGTTGACAGTCAAGGAGATCATGGAAGTAAAATCCACGTTATGTGCCTGACCCTGGGCCAGCGTCAGTGTTTTCACTCCCCGCCCCCAGCTCTGCCCCAAGACCTCACTTCTGAAGCCCCATCCCCCAGTGCTAGGTACTGCTTCCTGGGAGGTTCGCTAGTTGGTCTGCATGCTTGAGGCCTTCGAGACTGACAGCCCCAGAGGTGACATCATCTCCCTTCAGACTCAGCCAGCCCAAGCTGCTGGCTCTTACATCTGAGGTCCCCAGGGGCTGGGGGTTCTGTGCATGAGGAGTGCCAGGGAGGTTGACTGAGGATGGAGTTGGACCTTCTCTAGGAAACGCCCCTCCCTTCTTTCAAAATGTAGCATTATATGCTAGGCACAGTGGGGGATATGAAGGTGAGTCTGTGACAGGTGCTCCCAGGGAGCTCACAGACTGGTAAGAGCTCCTGTTTACTAAGTGCTTTCTATGTGCCAGGCATCACGCTGAGCTCATGACACAAATGGTCCCATTTAATACAAGATGGGTGCTATCTGCTATCATCCCCATTTTATGAGGAAGATGAGGCCTTTAAGGTCACATGGCTACAAAATAGCTGGGTTATGAGCCTAGCTCGCTGTCACGGGAACCCACATTCTACCACACTACGCTGCCTTCTGGGCATTGTAACAAAGTACAAGGGAAGGTGGTGTGGGCCAGGGTCAGCACCAGGAGCAGGGAATGCAGGAGCTGCCCTCCTGCCAGGCTAGAGACTAAAGCTGGCTTGGCTCTAGCTTTGGGGTCAGTGGTTTACAACCAGGGTAATTTAGGCGCCCGCCCCTTTCCCCTCACAAGAGCTCTGGCAATGTCTGGAGGCCTTTTTTTGTGGTTGTCACAAATGGGGTGGGGAGGAGGGTGCTCCAGTGAGTAGAGACAAGGGATACTACTAAACTTCCTCCAGTGCACAGGGAAGCCCCCACAACAAAGAATTATCCAGCCCAGAATGTCAGGAGTACTGAGGTTGAGAAACCCTGCACTGAGGGTCACTGAGGCAGATGAGCGACTGGGAAGAGCACTGGTCGAGTTGAACAAGGTCTGGACTCTGTCTTGGATGCTGACTCTTCTCCTTTCTGGGCCTCAGGGTCCCAACGGTAGCCACAAGTACAAATGAGGCACAGCAAAGGTGGACGACTGGGGTGGGGCAAGTCTGTGTGTGGGGGGGCGGTCCTGCTGCAAGAGGCTGGCTAACTAATCCTAGGCTGTGACTTCAGACTGGGGACTAGGTGAGGGGAAACTTCTTTCCTACTTCTTGCTCTGTGAGGTTTGCTGTGAAGGTCAGTTACCTTTCTTTGAAGTCTTCTCCCTTTGACTCTGGATCACAAGGAGAGCCTGAAATCCCTGGCTTTCTGGGGCCCATCACACCTCGGGGGCGGGGGGCTGTCACACCTGATGCCCAATGCTGGAACCAGCAGCAGCCCTGGCTGGGCCTCTCCTTGGCCTGAGGTAGGAGCTTGGCTCACCTGGGGGTGAGGTGCTGGGCCGTTAAGGCTCATGCCCAGAACCTTCTTGAGCAGGAGGATCCTGGGCAGATCATGACTCAGCTGCAGTCTCTGGTCCCTCAGAGAGATGTGGGGAGCTGTCCCCAAGAGGAATGGGCTGGGGGTTTCCAGACTCTTCTTGCCCATGAAGTGACCTAGAAAGGAGGTGCCAAGGCACAAGGAAGTTGGGGAGCGAGCATTCTATCCCAGTGGGAAAGTTCCCCATCTCTCCCAACTTTCAGTTCTCATGACAGGAAGATCCGAGGTCAGTCCTGCTCCACCTCCTCTCCAAGGAGACACAAATACCCCTGGGTGGCAGCAAAGCCTGTACCTGGGCTTCTCCTGAGCAGGCAGAGATGGCGGAGAGGGTGGTACAGCTGGGAGGAGGGTAGATGGCACACGGCCAGGGAGAGAGCCTGCCAGTAGTGCTGCCTGCTTACAGGAGAGACAGGAGAAGGCAAGGAGGAAAGTGGAGGATGAAGAGGTGTCTGGAAGGTGGAGGTGCAAAGAGAAGACACACCAGAGGTTAGAAGAAGATTCAGTAGACTCTTGCCTAAGGCAAGGGGCACCGGCTGGCAGGCAGATGTAGGATACGACCCCAGCTCTGCTTTAACTGGCTGAATGATCGCAGCCAAGTCACCGGACTGTCTGGGTCTCAAGTTTCCCATTAGACGAGTTCCAGGGTCCTCAGCAGCGCGGACACGAGTGTCCGTGGCTGAGGAACGGCCTGAAAAGGAAAATGGGATCAGAGCAGGGTGAGGGGCGCTTGCCCGGGTCCCGAAGACTTACCGGTGGCCCAGAGGTTGCCCCGCGGGTGCACTCGGATCTTGCTGGCCCGGCTGCGGGGCTCTGGGGGATCCCAGCTCAGCGGCGCAGCGCCCGCTGCGAGCAGAGCGAAGAGCAGGAGTCCAGCGAGCAGCCGAGCGCCCCCCGCCCGCAGGGTCATGGCTGTACCCTCGCCACTCCTCCGCCCCTGGCGCGCTTCGCAGCCGCTGAAGCCGGAGCCGCCTCCTTCCCTCCAGTTAAACCCTCGCCCCTGGTGGGGCGGAGCCTGCTCCGAGGAGCCGGCTCCTGGCGCGCTCACAGCCGCCCCGGCCCCGCCCTCACAGGACGCCCAGCCCCGCAGGACCCCGGGCGCTGAGCGCTTAAGCTCCTGCGCCCGCGTGGGCATCGCCTCCGCAGGGCGTCGGCGTCCACGTGCACCACCATCCAGCGGAGGACCCTGACCCGGGGCAAAGCCCGTTCCCCTGGCGGCCGCCTAGCCGCTCCCACTGGCTTTAGGTCCACGAATGGTTACTTCGCCTCGGAACCTCTCTTTACAAGGGTAAAAGTGGGGGGGAGGGCGAGGAGCCTGGCGCTACAGTGCCCAGCAAAGTGCTTTAGGTCCACGAATGGTTACTTCGCCTCGGAACCTCTCTTTACAAGGGTAAAAGTGGGGGGGAGGGCGAGGAGCCTGGCGCTACAGTGCCCAGCAAAGTGCCAGGCACTAGGCTAGCCGTAAAATGCCTGCCGGCCCCTCCCTCTGAGGGGATGTGACCGTGTTCACCCTGCTCTCTGCCCTCTCACCGCCACCACTCCCCAGGTGGTGTAGAAACCACAGCAGGTGCTCGGGCTGGCAATGCAGAATGACGGGATGGTGAGATAGTGAGCACCCCCCCCCCCGCAAGAATGGACGCTGTACTGGGAGGAGCCTGGCCTAACCCTTGGGCAGGAGGCAGATCTCTGGGTCAGGGAAATGGAAAGAGCACCGGACCAGGAATTCATATATAAACTGTGTGACCTCGTTGAACCTTTCTTCAACTGTGAAACAGTAATAACCATGTTGCTCTATTTGTAATAATTTTACATTTTTTTAGCACAATTATTTTGTGGCAGGAAGGAGCAGCCCTATAGGACTGGCCTCTCACACCCAGCACTCTCCTCCTCCCAAGTCCACACTTGCCTTGGAAAGAACTTTGGGGTCAGTGCCATCACTTAACGAGTAAAACAATGTGCTCCAGAATAATACATTTATTTTTGCTTAAATGTTTACTCAACACCAATGTTCAGGAGCACCATGCTAGGCACAGGAGGAGCGGAGACAAAAGATCATTCCCTGCTGCCAAGGGAGTTTACCATCTCATTGGAGAAACCGAGTGCCATTGCTTCTCGGTCTTTTGGCTAAGATCAAGTGTAGAAACCGAGTGCCAAAGGAGTGAATGATGCAGCGGGGTGCAGACCAACCCGGGATTCTGGACTCTGCACAGCGTGGCTGTGACAGAACCTACTCCCCAGTCTGGCTCGATAATGTTACTTGGTATTGCCCTTGCATGTATCCGGCTCAGCAAGGCCAGCTAGCTCTGTGGATCACCACTCTAAAAGGGGAAGTATATAGCAGAGGCTGGACGTCATGCTGAGTTCCCAGGAGCATGAAACACAGGACAGGGACACTCCATTTCTGGCCCTGGCTTTTTCCCCAGCCTCCTTGCTTCTCATCCCCCACCCTGGCATTTACACCTCTGTGCATTCTTGTCACTGCTCAGCCGTGGTATACAGATATAGCTCTTATCACCTTCCCGTAATAACCATTCCCTTTGTGACCCCCTCCCTCTCCTCTGGCCCATGGACGTAGAAATTAGTGGGAACACATGGAGCTGGCATTAATTGAGTGCTGCTTCACTTCAATGCTTGAAAGAACCTTATTTGGTAGGTTTATCTCTCATTTTATAACTGGAAACAGGCTCAGAGGTTGAGTCACTTGCCCAGATGTTACACTAGAATCAGACTTCGGGTCTGTTTGGACCACTCTATCGGGCCCCCAAAGTCACGCAGGGCAGATGCTATTTCCCTAAACCACATCCACTCCCATTTTATCATCACAAGTGTAAACATCAAGTTGGTTTAGATTTCTCAGGGGAGAAAGGGAGCAGGCACTGAATTTAGAGTTTGCCCTCGCTTCTGCAGGGGACCCTGGGACTGGGAGTTCTGCTCTGACCAGTTCATTTATACTCCAGCCAAGCCTCCTCTGTCACAGCCTGCATTCACAGCTCCAAGACTGACCTCAGGTGCCCCCAGTGGCATCATTTTATCTGTCAGGCTAGCACAGCAAGAGGCCTCAGAGGACCCTGGAGAAAGAAGCAGGGTAGCAGCTCCACAGCTGCTATGAAACACTGTCCCGGGAATGAGAAGCATCAGGCCCAGCAGAGAGGGTGGCTGGCCCAAGACAGCACTTCCAAGCTCGATGTCCCAGAGAGCATGCCAGGCTCTGAGTTTGAGTAAGATCTCAGCCGTCCGCTGCCCGTTTCCCAAGTGTAGTGTGATGGCAAGGGAAGCCTAAGGGCCTCCATCCCACTGGGAAGACTGACAGTGAGTCCAGTGGAGGCCCACAGGGAAGCTCTTCAGTGCTCACACTGGGCCCTTCTCAGGTTTCTACAACCTTCAAGGATAGCCACAGGAAAATCTACACAAGCTTCACAAGACAATCCTAGAGATGATTAAGGGGTGAAAGATACATGGCAACTCCTCTTATAACCAACACCAACAAAACATTTGAACTGCACCATGGTTTTTAATCAACGATTGCTTGAAATAAAGGACACGTGTATTACTATTTGCTATAATTTCATCAAATCGGAATCAATTATAAGTAACATCTTTTCACAACTGAATCTTTGTTGTTTTCCAAAAGTACTTACACGCATGCTCCCTTGATCACCAACACTATTTTGATGTAGTAACGACTAGTATTATGCCCATTTTATAGATGAGTTAATTCAAGTACAAAGCAAGTTAGTTGCAGAGAAACTACACAAATGGTGAAAAACATAGTGGACTTGACGCACATGAAAGGTGCAGAGGACAACAGAGAAAGCGAAAAGCAGAAATTTAAATTAGACATACATGAGTCTGGTGAAAAGGAATGACAACCAATGCAGAGCTGCTCAGGAAAGGATGGTATAAAAAATCACGCCCCCCGCAAACCTTTGAGCACAGACCTCCACCTGTGCGGACTGGGAGGATGAAGAGAAACATCTTGAGATATCTCGGGTCCTGCTCTTTAGTTTCAGAATGGAAAAGGACTGGACAATCAGGAGAACGGCAGAATCTTGAAGAGGAGAGTCAGGGATATAGGATACAATTTCCCAAAGTCAGAGGAACACATAAGAATTAGCTAGAAAATCAGAACATTCACCATTAGTCAGGAAATGTACCAGAAACTGAAACTGCCAAAACACAAAATATTTTTTTTAAGGCAATATTCAAAAAAAAGGAGAAAATACCTACATCTAACAAGAAAGTGATGACAAATCCCACCAGTGGCTAAGGGACCAGAGCAGCTGCTGCTCAGCTCAATGAACGGCACAGGTGCTCAGGGAATTTATAAAAACCTAAGAAAGTGACGAGCCCCAGGCCCAGCATTCATAATTATTTGGGTGGGACAGTCATGTATTTCAGGGGACATTCAGTAACTCAAATTAATACTCTTTAAACTCCAAAGAGATCTAAATGCTTGGAGATCTGTCCGAGAATCTGTTTCTAACAGATTTGCTTATCTGAGCGAGTCCACAGAAAAACCACCTAGAGTCTCTAAAGAATTCCCAAGGGCCCTGCAGTCGTGGGATTTATGCCAAATGAGAGTCTCATTAGATATTATAAAGGTGCAAGGACTGGGTTATGACACCCAACATCGTGACATGAGAAAAGCAACAGACTTGGAGTTGTGGCCGTGCCATTCACTGGCCAGGAGATGCTGGGCAAATCTCTTAACTTGTGGTTTCTCTTTTGTAAAATGGAGTTTATTTTGAAGACTGAATGAGAGAAAATAAAAATCTGTCGTGAATTCAAAAGTACTTAGCAGAACACATGGCAAATTCTAAGTACTCAGTATTATTAGCTGGGTCCCAGGAAATGCAAAGCCCGCTTTCAATCTGAAGCCCGTTACCGGGGAAAGAAAAGGTTCCCGCTACAGCCGCGGTGTTGACACCACAGTCAACAAAAGGCCTATTATACTCTGAGTTGTTTGATAGACTAAAAGGCCAGCATATCCACCTCAACTTTTGACCAATTCCAAGAAACACATTCTAGAGCGGTCTCACTTTTTCCGTTTAAATAAGATGTCACGCTGACTGCTTTGATCAAGCCTCACGCTAGTGATTTACTTACTTGCCTGACATAAAGCCTGAGTACAAATTCTTTTACCTAGACTCCTGGATGTAAAGCTGGAATCCAGCTTACCAATCTAAATAAACTGGCCAGTTAAAGTAAGGGCTCTAGAGAAATGATTCTTAACCAAGAGGAGGTACCATTCCAGAAACTCCCAAGATTGGTAGAATAGGAATTTATAGTTTGAAAGTCATAGTTAGTATAATAATTTAACTGTATATAAGAAATAACTTGTTTTTATAATACAAACTTGAGAAAAAAGCAAGAGAAAATATTCTTGGCTGGTGAGGATGGAGGTTGGCTGCAACAGACCTCAAGCAGAGTTTGTGAGAATGGAGAAGAGGTTTGAGATTTTTAGGGTTCTTAGAGGAGGCAATGAGTTTTGAAAGATTAAGGAACATTGTTCTGGGGGCGCCTGGGTGGCTCAGTTGGTTAAGCGTCTGCCTTCAGCTCAGGTCATGATCCTGGGGTCCGGTGATCGAGCTCCGCATCGGGCTCCCTGTTCAGCCAGGAGTCTGCTTCTTCCGCTCCCTCTGACCCTCCCCGTGTGCTCTCTCTCATGAATAAAAAAAAAAAAAAAAAGGACCACTGTTCTACAGGAAAGGTGTTGGGAGGTTCCTGGCTGATTAGATGGGTAGCTGGTGTTTTGTGGGGGGGCTCTCTGCAGAAGCTGCCAAACTATACCTACCCTAAAGGAACAGTCTCTGAAATAATTCTATGAAAATCATTAGGCTACTTAATATAGAGATTACTGCATGACATCACACTGTGCCCTTGCAATGAGGTCCCAGGAGAGAAATTTCTTGGTCCTTGGGTATTATAAGGTTTTTGTTGTTAATTCCATTTTATGCCCATTCCATAAGGCACAGAAATGATTGTTTCCCTCTTTACATTAGCCCCTAAGGAGTTGAGAATCAACACTATGGATCTCCTCCAGCAGACAGGAGAACTTTTTCATGTGTCTTGAGGGCACTAACCTCACCTCTGATTTCATCCTTTTTTCCTTCCACACTTATTTCAACCCTAGATTCTTCAATTATTTTATATCTTATCACAGAGTACTAGATGTATCTTTATGAGCTGCTCCAAATCCTTTTTGGGACAATTTATTAATAAATCTACAATGGGCCAACAGCACTGTGATAGGGACTAGTGGATATACAAGGATGAACGAGAGGTTGGCCTTGTCTTAACGCCTCAAGGAACTGGTCGGGGTGGGGGACCCACAGCAGACAGACCACTCTGAGGGCGCCATTAAAGAGTCACGAGCAAAGTCCCAACAGCACCGTGTGGGAAGTGCTATACACTCGAGAGCGTGGCTGAGAATAAAAACACTCCTCTTTTGAGCTCCTTGTGCATCTATCACTCCACTTAGGACCCTACGTGGAAAAAAAAAAAAGCCTGTTTACATGTTGCCCCGGTTAAGGCACTGAGTTCCTAACAGTCCATGCCTTACTCATCTTTGTACCCCAGGGGCTAGTCCCAAATCTGGCACCAAAGAGATGCTCCATCCGTGTCTGCGGAATGAGAAAGCTTCCAGCAGGTACAGAGGGAGCAGGCACTCCGGGCAGAGCAAGCCGCGTAAGTGAAAACTAGATGTCTATTCAGTGAGACCCATGTCAAGGGGACGAGAATGTGGGGTCTGCAGAGAGCTGAGGCTGGAAAAAGTCCTGAGGGCCTAGAATGCTACAGAACACTTAGAAGGCAATGTCCTATTTTTTTTTTTTTTTTGGTAACTTCTGCATATTCTAGTCTTTAATTAACATTTCTTGGTTACACAGAATTCCTTCTACACCTAGACTCACCAACACTCGTGTGCAAAGGGTCATATTTGTTGTTTATTTCTAAAAGTCTAGCTGGTATTACTTACAGTTCTAGTAAGGGAGAACAGTAACAAAGATCTACCTTGCCAGAAAACAGTCTGGATAGGCTGTCCAACTAAGGAGCATCTTAAGGAAGGTAGACAATCTATTTAGTCAGCCAGAATCAGCTGGATCATTCAGGAAGCTCAACAGAGTGATAAATGTTCTAAGACGGGTGCCCTCAGATGCTGAGATAGCCCTCACACATCGTTCTTAGGGGCCGTATGGACTTGGTAACACACGAAAGCAAACGACCAAGAAATTCACTTAAGGATTACAGAGCCTTTATTCTTTTTTTAAAAAATATTTATTTACTTATTTGAAAGCGAGACAAAAACAGAGAGCAAGCAAGTGGGGGGAGGGAGAGAGAGAGAGAATCTCCAGCAGACTCCCTGCTGAGTCCGACGCAGGGCTTGGTCCCACGACGCTGAGATCATGACCTGAGCCGAAATCAAGAGTTGGATGCTTAACCGACTGAGCCACCCAGGCGCCCTAAAGAGCCTTTATTTTAAGCCTACGTTCTCTGAGAAACCTGGGACTCCCCAAGAAAAGTGACAAACACCAATACTTGTCCCACTGAAAAAAAGAAGGCAGGAAGAGTCCGAGAACACAGATAAAAAGGAAGAAGACCGGATTAACACAAAAAATTCTAGAACGGGAACACACTGTTTAAATGGAACCACGGGGAGAGAAAGTTTTCAAATTCAAATTTGGAAAGACCAAATTACTAAACAACCGGAAAGTGCAAATCACTTGAATGATTCATTTGTTCTGCCCCAGAATAACAGCTCAACAATTATGCTACCCTAAGTTACCTGGGTGCCTGGGAGGCTCAGTCGTTAAGCATCTGCCTTCGGCTCAGGTCATGATCCCGGGGTCCTGGGATCGAGCCCTGTGTGGGTCTCCCTGCTCAGCGGGGAGTCTGCTTCTCCCTCTGCCTCTCCCCGTACTCGTGCTTTCTCTCTCTCTCTCTCTAAGTAAAATCTTTAAAAAAAATAATGCCCCCCTAAGTTACTGTTTCTGGTTCCACTGCATGATTATACAGAACATGTAGTACATGCTGGGACAACAGAGTAGGGTGCCTATAAAGCAGGGCCCCTGCATAGGAGGGGCTTGCCATTTGATAGGGGAACTTGAGGCCATATCCACAAACTGACACAAATAGCGTAAGGCCGCAAATGCTGAGAGTTGGAGGAAGAACAGTTACTCTTTGCAGAAAGTGAGACTCAGACAAGCAGAAATGAGAGTGTGAGATAATGTAAGTGAAGATATAGCAGTTTACCACAAGGGTGCTTAATGCTGGCTGAATTCAAAGTCCGAACTTCCCATGGGGTAATACAAGGTCAACACAACATTTATGGTCCAAAAAGAGACACTTCTGAAAGTAAATGGGGCACTAAAACTAATTAACAAGTGGAGCTGATCTCGAACAGGCACAGACTGGCCCGCTGCAGGGAAACGGAGACGTATAGTCACCCCAGCAAAGGGAACCACTGACTTTGTTTCTGGAGTCAGGTGATGGCCATGAGAAATGGAATGACAGGGGTAAATGTAGGGCTTGCAAGTGACTCAGTATGCTGGGAAACTGAAAAAATCTAGGTGAATACTCCTTCAAAGAAAAGTTGACATCTGGAGGGTTCGTTTGCAGCAACTGCTACGAGCTTCACTGTAAACAGAGGACAACAAGTAGAAGTGTTTGGAGGGAGGAGAGAGACAGGGACTAGAAGTGAGGACAGGCGTTTGCAAACAACTAAGAGAGACTTAACTCATTGGGAGTGATGACAGCGGGGGACTCACAGCCCAGAGACATCGCCATGATCAAATTCTCACTCGAAGTGTTATCAGTCCTCATCTTCTTTGACCCCCGACACTCACAGTGGGCAAGCCTTCCCAACTTCCCACCAGCCCAGCCAAATCTCGGCGAGCTCATGATTCCATTACAACACCAAGTCGAACAAACCCTAGCAGGTCTTACATTCTCTAGAACGCTTTACATTTACTAATAAAAAATTGCCCAGCTTAAGTCTTACATTTGAGCACTAAGCCAGACAATATAAAAATTGACAACATAAAACCTCTCTCCCAAAATAATCTTTATTTTTGGCTAAGAGAGTAATTAAAATACTTTTGAATGATTTGATTACTTCCCAGAAAAATTCAGCTATTGCTTCCAACGAGAGCATCCAGCAAAGGACGAAAAACAAAACTGGGTGTGAAGATATGCAAATGAGGAAAATATTCAATGTTTTAAGTGTATATGGAGGAGAAATCTGGATGGCCGAGGATACAAGTACAACTCAGGCAAGCTAGGATCACAAAGAACCCCAGGATCCCAACACCAGGCAGCAAAGCACAAGACTTCTCCAGAGTAGTCCCAGAAAGGCTGCTGCAAAAACAGAGTGAGGACGGTTAGGCCAAGCGGTTAACCCCATCCTCTGCAGGTGAGTAGGAGGAAAAACATGGGGAGAGTAGCAATTTTCTGCCATTCTACGCATGGGGGACTGCTTCCACACTCTCCGTGGCTCATGAGAAAATATAAGTACAATACAAGCCTCACGGGCAGGTTCAAAGAAGCACCTGCTAGCCCTGATGTGCCAAGTGTCCTACTCGGTTGAGATCATTCAGAGCCCACATCCAGAGTTTAAAGACTAAAGCCTAGTTAACAGATTTTGGATGGCACTATTCTCTCTATGGGAGAGCTTCGGAAGATCAACTGTTCTTAGTTGTAAACTGTCTCCATCTTTTAATGCTGATTCCATTAACATAAAAGTGTGGACTGACTTCCACTTCAGCTGATCCACCTCAGCTGAACAAATAATAGAAACTGCTCATTTAGCCCAACACAGAAAATTCGCTTTCAGATTTCACATTAATACAAGTAGAGAACAAAAAGAATTAAGAGTATTTTGTACTTAAAACACACTGGCTTACCCTACACTGGCCCTTTCCCTAACCGCCTCAATATGAGCGGAAGAAAGACACAACTGGGCTTTGCATTCACTACTTTAAACCTTGCCTTCTCTAAGTCTGCACGAGAGAAAAGCGAAGCCAGGCACTTAAGAGAACAGGCTCAGGCAAATGAGAGTTTTAAAAAAACAAGTAGCACGCTCGCCCTCCGGCATCTTCCTCCTGCTTCCTCAGGAAGGAATGCTGAAACACACTGCCAATGTGTAGAAAGGGCTGAGAGTGTCTCAAGTGCAGAAAAGGAGAGGAGCCTTCACAGCCCAGCAAGATTTTATGAACCTTTCAGCAACACTAACTGTGTTTCTACACATCTGAGTCACACCCTAGTGAAGAATCAATTTTATGGCTAAGAGATTTCCTATGAACGCCAATGGCCACTTTTGTTCCACAAAACAAAGAAACAAAAACCAGTTGTTAGTATGAGGACAACCTTCTTAGCTGAAGGACTGCTTACATCAAAGCCTTTATCTCCCCCAAGGGTGCTAAGAACCAGCAGAGGAAGGCAAAGCTTTCCCGACAAACACAAGTCAGGGATAAGGGGTTCAATATGCAAAGTCTTTTATTTAAAATTTGAAAAGTTAAGACTTACGACCACCTCAGGATATGCCATTCCCATCTTATACGGAGGAATGACGGTTTCAAACTCGTGCAGAGTTGCATTTTCATTTACAGAACTCTGTAGGCACTTTAGAAGTGAAGCTTGGCTTCAAAATACAAACACTGGGGGCTTTGGCTCAACCTTTTAATATAAAAAAATTCACTGATGTACAAAAATGTGAAAGTGTGACAATGACAACACATGAAATCCTGTGATTGAGAGTCCCCTCGAGTGCGCGCCATGGTGCCCGTGCACCCGCCCACACGTACCCTAGTGTGGAAACAGAAACTAATGCAAACCGTTGCTACTGAGAAGCGCCAACATGTGCATTCTGCACTCCACCAATCAGAGACCAATATCTACGCCAAACATTCAGGAACGAAAAGTACGGCATCTTCCAGGAACAGCAAGGCAGACTTCTTATTCACGATGGACCAGCACGAATAAACCCAGCAAGAAGAGCACTGCATACTAGAAAACAGACACAGAACACAAGTCAGGGAAGCTTTTAAAAGTGTCCAAGTCCTCAGAGTTCAGTCATGAGCTGGCTTTTGTGACCATGACCAGTTACTACACTAACCAATTAGTCTGTAACCCACGTAATAGTTTCCAAAAGTGAGCAAAAGAGCACATGTTTAATGAAACATATAGTATAGGCTCTTACCTTAAATTTCGGATAGTCATTCATGAGGATCGTCACAATCCCAATATAAGGAACAAATCTAAACAAACAAGCAAACAGAAAACCAGTCATCACAGAACTTCCTCTGTAGCCAGTCTCATTTACCGAACATTCTCAGTATCTTCCATCGAAAACTGATTTTCAGTTCACAAAGTCCATTTGTACAGACTGTCCTATCAGGTCCTTCCAACAACTCGTGTGACAGGGAAGTTAGGAATACCACTTTACAGATGAGGAAAGAGATGCTCGTGCCCGAGGTGTGTGGTTTCGGGGCAGAAGAACCTAAGGTCTCGGGCCTCCAGACGGGGACTCTCACGCTACATGTGGATTCAGTGCTCGGGGCTGGGTTTGTTGTCATAGCCTTCCGGGAGTGGTCAATCCAGCTGGGGCGACAACACAAACACAGCCAGACCATTACAAGGTACTTCATGTTAAGAGTCCAAAAAGTGAGCGTAAGAGCTCCATTACGGTACTGAAGATTGCGCCACCCTCTCATGTGCTAACCACCTGTAATCTGGCTCTGGCTCTCCTGATCCCGAGGCTTCTTCCAGAACAGCTTAAATCGCCGTATGCAGACCAGTCTCACCTCCCATCTTCCTTTTCATCTCTGCGGGTTTTGACTTTGAGGACCACAAACTTCCCTTGAAAGCCTTTCCCTCCTTGGCTTCTCGAACACACCACAAATCTATTTGTCCACCTACCTACTGGCTGCTACCCCTTTATTTTTTTCACTAGCTCTTTCTTTCTCTTTGCCCCTAAAGTTTATCCCCTTAAACTAGATATAGATAAAACCACCTGTTAAATAATCTCAGAGACCTGATGTATTTCCTTTGGAGTCTTTACCACATTTTTTGATTACATAATTGGTTGCACAACTAACTGAAGAGTGTCTGTCTCTCCTATTCGAATCTAAGCTCCGTAAGGGCAAAGACGATGCCAGTCTTGCTCCCCACTGTGTCCTCAAGGCCGGATGTAACCCCTGTACACAGCAGGCATCCAGTAAACACTGCCTGATGGACTGTCTGGATGTCCAGGCCTCTACTCTTCCTTTCCTTGGGAGATCTCACTTAGTCCCAGACTTCACTTCTCCCCCGAGTAGAAAACACTCCATAACCGCGTAAGAATTCAGGGGAGAAAGGAAAGGTTAGCAGGGTACCGTCACTGTGGGAGGAAACGGCACTTAGCAAATGCACAACTTTCTTCTTTCTCCTCCTCTTTTACTACTGGACTCTAGAACGGGCCCAGCGATACTGACCTAGAGCTTGTCCAAAGGAGGGAGGTTGGGCTGAGGTGGAGACTGAACTTTGCATACTTTAAAATAGCCCAAATAGTTCTACTCCGGGTATCCACAACCTGTGCACCAACATCCCAAAGGTGCACAAACAAATCACCTCCCACATAACACCTCCACTATCAAAGCCTTAGGCAAGCTTGAAAAACAGAAATTTTGTCTTTTGGTGCACTTCCTTCCTTTGAAGAACTCCTCTTACTTCCTGTCTCCTGTCCTCACCCTGTCTTGCCCCTCTCCCTTCTGGCCGCATTACCAGACACCCCCACCCCCCGACCCCTCCCCATCCCCAAACTTCCATTCCTTAAGTTGATGTCTCCTAAAACCAGGCCTCCTTCATCAGAATCACTTGGATAGCCTGTTAAAAGTGCAGATTGCTCTATCTTCCTCACATTTACTGAGTCAGAGCATCTGTGGACGTGGGCCCAAATAAGGCTTCTGCACACTCTAGCACCAGCTCAGTTCTAGCTAGTGACATGCCTGGAAGAGCCAGGTGGTGGAAAATAACATCCCTTCCTAGGACCCATGCTTTGGTTTCAACCCCTGGAACCTCTAAGAGCTGAAAAGTAACAGGTCCTACAGGATGGCAGAGCTAAGCTCTAGGATGGTAGACAGGGGTTTTCTATGTTTTTAAATACGTATTTTTTCTTTGGAATACAATAACATTTCTTTTGTCTCATCAGATCTTCATAAAAGCAGTAGCTTTCAGTGAACGTAAATCATCTAATTTAAGAAGGTGAAGGCAGATGCCTCCCAGTAATATGCAGACTAAAAGCTATAAAAGTATCTGTGATTTCTGCTAAAACAGTATCAGGCTGCAGATTCTGGTCTTATGACCAACCAGCAGCCATTCTCATGGACAGAGGCTTTCACTGTTCCCTCCATGCAGTATCCACGTTCAGAGAACCTTTAGCTCCCAGTGATCACGTAGCCTGTTTATGAGTTATTCATGGAAATATTTCCCCCCCTAAGGTTGGTTTTTCCTTGCCCCACCATAAGAGAAATGGAAGCAACTTGGCCTTTAGGGGTAATGTAAGCAACTAATATGACAGGCAGTCCAAAGTCAAAGAAAAGATTTAATTATTTGTCTCACCGTTTCCCTCCATGGACAGAGACAGCAAAGAGTTGCTAATCGAGTACATAATGCTGCTACCATTAGTCATCTTCATTTCAAATCCGCTGCACTTTTTTCCTACTCTGCTTGGAGAAGCTCTGCTAAAGCAGAGTGGACAATAAGCAGAAGAAGGCTTAAAAGAAGTCAAACATGCCACCCACAAAGCCAGCTCCAACAGCAGCCTGTGCTGAGTTAACGTCTCGAGGGCAGAGTGTAGAGGAATACATGCCCCTGGGAGGTGCTGGTGAGGAAGGAGCCTCGGACGGAAGAACTAGCTGCTGATATTTGGAGAAAAAAATTTTGTCGGGTGTCAGAGGGGCCTCTATCCGGGAAGCCTGGGCCCCGGGAGCTGACTGAAAAACGATCACTGTTTCTACCCCAGAATGAGCCGTTTTAAATGTTAAGGAAAAAGTGCATTTTGAAAGCCTCATCCTTAAAGCTGGTTTTAGCCAACAGGGAGCGCAATTACCCCTCCCTTCAACATCTCCTTCCATCGCCAGGACCCTGCCCGGCCGAGGCCCGCCCCCGCCCCGGCCTCCTCTCGCCCCTACTTTTCTTGCACGAGCAGCTCCTGCTGCTGTGTCTTCGACCTCCTCCACTGAGGACGGGTCACCCCCCACTCGATACTTGGTTGGTTCGGTATCAGTTCCATTTCCTAAAATGGTCTTTATCACACACTGCAGTATCAACAAACGCCGAAGACGCGATGCTGAGCGAAAGAAGCCAGACGTAAATGAAGAGCAAGTATTGTGAGATTCCGCTCACATAAAACGTCCAGAACAGGCAATCCACAGCAACGGAGAGCAGCTGAGTGGTTGCCAGGGGCTGCAGGGAAGGGGGACGGACAGTGACTACAAATGAGTATGGAGTTTCCTTTCTGGGGTGTGGATACCTTCGGAAATTAGACAGTGCTGATAGCTGGGTAACCTTGTGGATGTAATAAAACCCACTGAATCATATACTTTTAAATGGTGAATTTTATCTAATATATGTGAATTATATCTCAATAAAATTGTTTTAACTTGTTTTTATTCAGGGCCTTAGGCCGCAGCGTTAAATTTTTTAGTGTGCAGCTATTTAGGAAAAAAAAAAGGTTTTTATTGGGTAAAGACATTTGTACCACAGTCACAGACCAGTCTGCAGAAAAGCTATCCTTAAGGTTTGGGTACAGTTGGGCTTTGAATTACCAGTTTGTGTTTTATAAACATAATCGCCACAAAAGGAGGTGCTATGACCTGCCATGTGTCCAGGGAAGTGGCAGTGTAAGCTAGACAAAGTAACCTTGCACGGTTAAGATTCGGTGCTCCTGCTCTGTAGCTATGTATGTCCCAGATGTTTATACCTCATGGAAAGTTACTTAAATTCAGAGAGCACCAGGCTATTGCTTTTTTTATTTTTTTTATTTTTTAATTAAAGGTCACAAAAAGACCTATATTTTCAATGTTGCGATTTTATTTTATTTTTGTAAAGATTTTATTTTTAAGTAATTTCTACACCCAACGTGGGGCTCAAACTCACAACCTGAGACTGAGCCAGGCAGGTGCTCCTCAATGTTGGGATTTTAGAAATAATATTGAATATAGTTTGAGAATAAAAAAAGTTCTTCAGAAAGACAAGTTACTTGAGTGAAAGCCTGGCTCCTGTACCCTTCTGTGGGATGATGCATCTTCTACCCAAACAGGGGGCCAGAGTGAGCAGACAGAACTGCATTAAATACCTAAGAATCAAGATCCACATAAAGGGACACTGTTATACTGGGAAGAGTATAAATAAAACAGTATGGCAAGATTTAACAAAAGCTTTCTTAAAGTATGCATAGGTTTCACCCAGTAATTCCACTTCCTTGAATTTACTGAAGAAATGATTACTGGGCAGAGACACTGAGATAGATGTATGTAAGATGCTCATTATGACTTGTTCACACACATACACACTCAAAGCATCTACCAATAGGAGACTGGCTAAATAAAAATATGGTCTATCCATTCCGTGGACTAGCACACAGCTATGAAAATGATGATATGGAGATGTATCTTTTGATTTGCAAAAACAGTGATTACTTTGGGGATAAAAAAATGTTATAAATAGCATGACAATCTCTCCTCACACACAAAACGTGTTTGTGTATGTACATACATATGTTACCTGCATCCTCTACATAAAGACTAAAAGAACCGAAACCAAAAAGTTAAATACTTATGGAGGGGGAGGGGAAGGATAGATGTGAAAAAAGACTTTTTAAAAAAAATTTTTTAAAAGATTTACTTATTTATTTATTTGACAGAGAGAGAGAGACACAGCGAGAGTGGGAACACAAGTGGGGGAGTGGGGGAGGGAGAAGCAGGCTTTCCACGAAGCAGGGAGCCCGATGCGGGGCTCAATCCCAGGACCCCGGGATCATGACCCGAGCCAAAGGCAGATGCTTAATGACTGAGCCACCCAAGCGCCCCAAGATTTTTTTTTTTTAAAGATTTATTTATTTGAGAGTGTGCGCATGTGCGCACACGGTGGGGGGAGGGGCAAAGGGAGAGGGACAGAAACTCAAGCCTACTCCCCGCTGAGCTCAGAGCCTGACATGGGCTCGATCCCATGACCCGCGCTGAAACCAAATCGGATGCTTAACTGGCTGCACCACCCAGGCGCCCTGTGACTTTACTTTTTGATGACTGTTATTTATGTTTCTACATGAATCTGCACATTGCAATTAAAAGAAAAACAAAAAGACTCAATGAGACTGATGAGTCTGAATAACCACATTAGCAGCATCTTGGGAACTATGGGAGACGGGAGTGTTATTTCTCAGAAGCACTGATGATCTGGTTTGTATTATAAAAATATGTTTGGGGCGCCTGGCTGGCTCAGTCGGTGGAGCATGTGACTCTTGATCCCAGGGTTGTAAGTTTGAGCCCCAGGTTGGGTGTAGAAATTACTTAAAAATAAATAAAAATCTTATAAAAAAAAAAAAAAAGGATGTTTAGCTCCAATACAGGAAATGAAGTTCCCTTGAACTGGAGCCATGCAAACAGCTTTGCAAGACACAAAACACACCGTGGGTGCTTGTTCTGATCCAATCTCTCTGGCCCCAAACCAGCACCTCTCATGCTGTAACTGAAGCAGCTTTCACTTAGTACTGTACACCGACTTCTCTGTGGGAAGAGAACTGCTCAGTGTGGTGGCCTGATCTCTAGTAGAATCACTCTGAATCCACTGTCTACAGAAGGCGCAGATGTGCTGACAGGGGTAAGGGCCCCATGTGGCAGCTGAATAGTGAGAACCAGCAGCTCTCCACTTTCAGGAGTGTGATGCCAGTAACTCTGGTGTGATGGTTAAGAGGGTGGGCTCCGGGGTCAGCCGGCCACTGTTTATAACCAGCGTGGCCTTAGATAAGCAACCTAACTCGTCTGTGTTTCCTCATCTGTAGAATGGAAATATTAGGGTTGTTCTGTGGTTAAAATGAGGTAATACTTGTAAAGAATTTAGAATGAGTCTCTGGCACATAGTAAGCCCTGATAAATGTGAGTTATTGTTAATACTATTAATAACATGAAGGTAGTAACAATTCTATTATGTCCTCATGTCAGTAACTTACAATTCCTGTCCTCCACTGATCTGTTCTCCTGATAAAATCTGAAATAAACAGGCTTAATATAACTTTTAAATTTCATTTGACCCCAGTGATTTTAAGACTAGAAATAAAACAGTAGGAAATAAACATGATAAAATTAACTTAAATGAATACTTTAAGTTGCTGACTCAGTAACTACTTAAAATATACATTTCAGGAAGCAGGATCAATAACTGCTCTGGACCCCCAAACTAGCACGGTATAGACTTGGAGTACAAGAAGGTGCTCAATAACATTTTTTGAATGAATGAAATAAACAAACGAATTTTTAAAATTGTCACTCCAATCCGTCATCTCATCACTGATATTCTACTCTTTTGCTGTACCCCATTTCCTCCCCTCTGGAGCAGTATCCCCCAAGTTTTAGATGTATTTTAAGAAGCATGCTTTTTCAAAGGACACAAGGTGATTTGGTAGAACCAGGACCAAAACATGTATTTAATTGTGTGTGATCAGACGATAAGACAGAGGGACACATTTCATGTGCCATGAAAGCTCAGTAAATGCTCCCCCCTCTACTTACCCCCTTGCTCTCCCCACGACATCTTTCTTCTCTAGCCAGTGTTGTCCTTGTTTATAGAGGCCTCGGTCATCAACGGCATTATTATCTCCTTTGGTCAAAAACTTAATATGTCCATTTTGCCTTAAAAGAGTAAGGGGAAAAAAAAAAGTGAGGGAAAGCCAAGTTATCAAATACCTTCATGCCATTTGCAAGCACAAAATTCGCTTTGTTAACCAAAAATGCTGTAGAACTGTGGTATTTTATCATCATTACTAATATCAAAATAATTATCTATTTAGCCAAAAGGATGCTCATAGCTCTGTTTATAGTAGGGAAAAACTGGAAGCAAGCTGAAAGTCTAACATTCAGGAGTTAAAATATGTAAGCATTGAGGACAATGTTATAGAAGAATAGTTAATGGCACTGGAAGATGATATACATTTTATTAAGTGAAGAAAAGATTACAGAGTAGCATATACAGTATAATCTCACTTTTATATTTAGATAAACACAAACCACCGATTTTCTGTAAATACGAAGAGCAAAGGAACACATTAAACTACCCCACAGAATATAATCCACAACAAACACTAGGGAAACTAAAGAATAACCTAGTTTCTTCAACCAACAAGTTGTGAGGAACAAAAAAAGTTGGAGAAAGAATTTACAAGCTTAAATGAAAAGAGATTATAAAGCCTTATCAACCAATTGCAACCAAGGACCTTATGTGAATCTAGATTCAAACAAACTGTTAAAAAAAAAGCTTTATGACCCAACTGGGAATTTGAACAAAGACTGGAAACGTAATGATACAAAGGTATGGTTGTTCTTTTTTGGGGTGTAAGCATGCTGACCGTAGTTATATGTTTTTTAAAAGCTCACTGCTTACGCTTTATAGATATTTACTAAAATATTTACAAATGACATGACATGATATCTAGGATTTGATCCAAATAATACAGGAAGGAGAGTGGGAAGAGGTGGTGGTCTAAGTGGGGCAGAACTGGCCATAGAGTCATGATGCTCGGGACTGGCTGAGAGCACAACAGCAGTTCATTATACGGTTTTGTACACCTCTGTGCATGTTAGAAATGCTGTCTATCTACCTATTTATTTATATTTTATTTTTAAGTAGGCCAACCTGGGGCTTGACATGACCCTGAAATTGCAAGTCACAGACTCCACTGATTAAGCCAGCCAGGCACCCCAGAAATTCTCCATATTTAAAAAATGAAATGAGGGACGCCTGGGTGGCTCAGTCAGTTAAGCATACGCCTTCAGCTCAGGTCATGATCCCAGGGTACTGGGATCGAGTTCCCCATTGTGCTCCTTGCTCAGTGGGAAGCCTGCTTCTCCCTTTGCCTGCCGCTCTCCCTGCTTGTGTTCTCTCTCTCTGACATATAATAAAATCTTTAAAAAATAAAATGAAATATGGGGCGCCTGGGTGGCTCAGTCGGTTGAGCGTCTGCCTTTGGCTCGGGTCATGATCCCGGAGTCCTGGGATCGGGTCCCGCATCGGGTCCCGCATCGGGCTCCCTGCTCGGCAGGGGGCCTGCTTCTCCCTCTCCCACTCCCCCTGCTTGTGGGCCCTCTCTCTCTGTCAAATAAGTAGAATCTTTTAAAAAAAATAAATAAATAAAATGAAATAAAAAATAAGATAGTAAAAAAGATCTAAAGTGATAGACCAAGGTATAACAGTGGCCATCTATGGCTTTCTTTAGCTTCTAATTTTTTTCCCCAACAAACATATATTGCTTTTACATGCCAGCGTTTTTAGGAAAAGCATTTTACTTATCAGGAAATTATTAGTTTAATTCTTCTAAAGAACAAGAGTTTTCTAGTAATTTTAAAGTTTAACTGAAAGCAGAGTACATTTTACAGTTTGATAAAGACTATCTTAAAACTAATTCAAGTGAGTTTGGGTTAAGTACTATATAAAGAAGAAAATTAGCCTCAGACTCCTACTGACTAACATCCACTTAGATTCTAAGCCAGAAACTGGCTCACTAGACACAAAATGTGCAGATTAAACTAAATTGGAATGTGTTGCAAACACCAAAAACAGTGAAGTGCAAATAGTCACATTAAAAATGAGATTCTAGTTAGAAAAAAATGCAAATATATACAGAGAAAAATAATCCTTAGCTGACAACTCAGCGAGGGAGAGTGTCTGAAAACTTCTGGAGAGTGAAAGAGGGAGGACAGGTGCCAAGGGGGCCGGCTGCAAGAGTAAAAGTCAGGAGCACAGGAAGGAAGAGTCTATTCAACCATGAAAACAACAGTGAGCCCATGGAGGCAGAACAGGAACATCAAATTTGAGGAAAGGGAAATGGGGGAGTGGAGAAGCTCCCCAGGAAAGGAAAGGGACGCTACAGGAGACCTGGGCTCTTCTCAAAGACTTGATTTGCCAACAAGACACACAAACGAACCCGAGTTCCCCGCTCCGGGATGGTGTCGGCAGAGACCGCTAGAGCTGTGTGAAAAAGCAGAGGTCTCCGTCTACGCGCCCCGGCTTCTCTTCGACCCGCTGTCAAACCTACTCCAGCACGTCACAGCTCGTGGCCCCAACACTGACTGATGGGGCACTTACACAGGGCTCTCCCCTAGCTGCCGCAGGGACCAAATATTCAATATCATCTATCTCTGAGGAGCTCGACGTGCTTGCAGTGTAATTCAACCATCATAATACTGTGACGTTAGGGGGCAAGAACTAATCACTTTGTAGGTAAGAAAAAGTAAGACCCAAAAAGCCAAATGGGTGGAAAACAATCTCTCTCTCCGCCCAGAAAGAGCAAAGCTGAGGATTAAGTCATCCCCACTGCCAACTTTCTCCTTCCAAATACCTGACCACACACCAGTGTTCACCATCATCAAACCATAATGCCTTCTATAATAGATGGAACTTAGTAAGTGCGCATCAGAGGAGGCTATAAAGTACGAATTTATATGTGAGAAAAGTGTCCACATTAAGAGGGACTTGACTAGCAAGCTAATGTGAGGAACAACTCAAGAGAATTAAGTCAACTGATAATATTTCAAAGTGATGTAGTCTCTTAAATGAGAACACAGACCTCGCTATGTGCTAGCTCTTTCCTGACTCATTTCTGTTGGAAGGTAATGGAAAACAAGAGAGTAGGCAGGGGGAGAAAGACTCAAAGAAGAGATGTTTCGATGTTGATGTTTCGCTTGTCTGCAGAGCATGCGTAACCTTGCCTGCAGGTGTGTCTCATAGCCCTCTTGGAGGAGCCAGGAGTAATAACTCCCCCCTTTTCTTACTAAATTAAAAACAGAGTAACTAGACTACAATAAATGCAGGAGGTGGTTGAGTCTTTTTAAAAAACACCACCGACAGCTTTTTCTCAATGTACTATCTACTCCTCCAAACTACCTCCTATTACAAATACTGGAAGTTTCTTAATGTCCCTTACAAGAATATTTTGCCTGAGCTCAGCAGTGCACTACAGCTAAGCCCTGGATCACAAGTGCTTTCCCACTGCCTGGTCAGACAGCTCAGAGCACAGAGTGTGTCCTCTGGAGAACAGACAGCACAAGGTAATGACCACCTTGGGCACAAAGAACGGATTCAAATTCATGGGCCCATTACCAACATATTAAGCAGTACTTGGCAAGCTGATCTTTTAGTTTAGGGATTCTTTGCATATGTGGTAATACCAGATATATTCTACCATATGTTCATGAGGTAAGCTTGTTACCAAAAACTGTACTGAGTAGATCCCAGTGTTGTACAGGGGGAAAATGTATATTTATAAAACAAAGAGAGAATTACCCAAAATTTAACATTCTCTCTGGGTGTTAAGGCTGCATGTGATTTTGTTTGCTATATTTACCGATTTTATACAGCATCTTATTATATGCTACATAATAAGACTGTTTACAAAATGGAGAGTCAATATATGAAAAAAAGAGCTTTTTATGACATTTTCAAATTTACAAAGGCACTGTACATAAGAAGCAGGTGGAGAAGGAAAGGAGGAATGAGACCAAAGAGAGAGGTCAGCTGAATGATTCCTACCTCTCTTCTTCTCAAAGTTCAGGATTTTACTTCTTAAAACAATGTTCAGACGAAAGAAATGAGTAACAGTGCAAAAATCAGCCTGAAAACGCTCAGGGCACATTTACTAAAACACTTCATCCATTCTGGTTGTCATTTAGTTTATTTATTATTTAAGAACACTGTTAACACTACTAAATCAAATGATGTTCACAATCAGGTATTTTAGTCTCCTCAAAAGAAAAAAGGAAATTGGAAGCTTCAGAATATTAACTGGATCTGTTATCTAAACAGGCCTTCAAGCTGAAGGCATCTCAAGAGTCTAAAATGAAATCACCAGGGCGCCTGGGTGGCTCAGTCGGTTAAGCCACTGCCTTCGGCTCGGGTCATGATCCTGGAGTCCCGGGATCGAGTCCCGCATCGGACTCCCTGTTCGGCAGGGAGTCTGTTTCTCCCTCTGACCCTCCCCCCTCTCATGCTCTCTCTCTCTCAAATTAAAAAAAAAAAAATCTTTAAAAAAAAAATCTTTAAAATGAAATCACCAAAACCCCTAGATTAGTAGTACCATACAGCTTAATACATTCAGAATTCTGTTAAAATTATTTTTAAAGTTTAAGGAATCTGTAATTGATATGTCAATGAACCTGCCCTAAAACAAGATCAACTGTTTAAAATAAAAAACTCACTCAATTTCAAAGGATGGCATATAAAAACGGGTAACTTTTGCTCTACCCAAAGCAGGGTCTGAGTATCATTTGATTTTCTCTGATAAAATCAGGAAAAAGTTGGCTCTGCTTTGCTCACAACAGGCAGTGCTAAGAACAAACACCACAAATCCACTTTGAGAATCTGGAAAACACTGCCTGTACTGAATAAACCTTCACAATTCCAAACTAAATTTCTAAAAAAATTAAGTTGTTCCTTCTTAGTTAATAGTAAAATGCCATTTTAAAATTATAATCTTTCAAAATATATACTGAAGTTTGAAAAAAAAAAAAAAAGAGCAGTCCCATCTTTACTTCACCAATGAAGAAAGAACTCTTTTAAACTAGAGTGTTTATGGGGATTTTCATAAAGCAACAGTTGAGGGTGCCTGGGTGGCTCAGTCAGTTAAGTGTCTGCCTTCGGCTTAGGTCATGATCTCAGGGTCCTGGGATCGAATCCTGCATCGGGCTCCCTGCTCAGAGGGGAGACTGCTTCTCCTTCTCCCTCTGCCCCTCCCCCCTGCTCTCTCTCACACATGCAAATAAATAAAATCTTAAAAAAAAAAAAAAAAGCAACAGTTGAAAGTTCCCTCTTCTCTAAGTGGAGAAAATAAATTACTTTAGAGGGTGGGGTAAGAATAAGATAATATTTATTTAGGGCTCCTTCATTCTAAAGAACCTAAAATCACTGTCTCACTGTTTTCCTTCCCCTCCATGTGTCCTCTAGGACACCTACCTTTTCCTTCATTTCTTTCTTTCCTTCCCTCCTGAATGTTTTCCTTAACTAGAAATACTACCGATTTGTAAGGGTGGGGGTGAGGAATATGGAGCTGGACAGAGAAGCACAGGCTCAGAACTCACAGATCTTATAATTCATCTTCCTAAACCTCTTAATATTGCAGATAAGGAGATAGACCCAGAGAGGTGAAATTTTTTGCTCATTGTTATGCCCCACCTCCAGGTGATTCTAAAAGTTTTACATATGTCCCTTCTAACTTTAAAATGCAAGAGTCTATGTTTAAAAGAGTAACTTAGATTTTAGAAATTTTCTTTGGAATTTAGGGGTGTCTGGTGGGCTTAGTCAGTGGAGTGTGTAACTCTTGATCTTGTGGTTGTGAGTTTGAGTTCCATGTTGGGTGTAGAGATTACATAAAATCTTAAAAGAAAAAGAATTTTTCTTTGGAATTTGAAAAAGTTGATCAATTTATTCTTATTGGATATGTCTGTTAGATTGCCATAAAGATTTTTTTTTTTTTTAAGGATTAGGGAGGGATACCTCATCAATTACACCAGAAGATTCTATTTGGGATCAAGCTTTATGTCATTTTTTGGGGGGTGATACACAGGGCTATGGATCTGGTTGGGAAGTAAAAGGAAACCAAGAAAAATTTCCAGAAAAAGCTTCAGAGAAATAAATGAATTAATAAATAACTATTTAGCTTACCAAAAGTTCACTAAACCTTCAGACATTTATAAAAATGGATTGGAAAAAGGACTTAGGCATTCCCCACTCTTCTTAATCTTCAGGTTATCAAAATTAAACACTGCAAACACTAAAACATGAAAAGATCTTAAAACAGGGAAGACATAGTTTGCACATACTTTTCATGAATCTTCAAGACTCGGTGAACTATAGGAATCTCTCTTCCTTCTATCCTAAAAACAACAATTTCTCCCACTCGGATGGGATCTTCAACTCGATTTGTTAAAAAGAGAAGATCTCCTCTATGAAATGCTGGCTCCATGCTGCCACTAGGAGGGAGAGAAGAATATAATAGAAACAGAAAGTGTGAGATTAAATTTACTTTCAAAATTAGATATTCAACAAAACAATCACAAATTCAATACTTTAACAAATGTATCAGCATTGATGTGTATTGTTCCCAAAATACGGTTTCCACAGACTAATGAGTTATACAAAAGTTTCTTTTGGTTATTAGCCTTAACTGACTAGATCCGTTTCAAGCACTGCTATTCAAAGGAACTTAAATCTTGAAAAGGGCAATGTTACTAATTCTTTAACCTTTTAAAATTTCAAGTGACAAATGGAATATAAAAGAATGAACTTTATAATCACTGCCCTTATTTCACCTCATCTGAAAACGCTAAACACATTCAAATATTCAAATGAGAACTGGACCGTCTTCTGCCATTTATAAAGATAGAGACCAAGATGACCTTACAGTTTTGATTAAGAAGGAAAAACAGGGGGCGCCTGGGTGGCTCAGTTGGTTAAGCGACTGCCTTCAGCTCAGGTCATGATCCCGGAGTCCCGGGATCGAGTCCCACATCGGGCTCCCTGCTCGGCGAGGAGCCTGCTTCTCCCTCTGACCCTCCCCCGTCTCGTGTACTCTCTCTCTCTCTCATTCTCGCTCTCTCAAATAAATAGATAAATCTTTAAAAAAAAAAAAAAGAAAAACAGGTCATCAAGTCAAAGAACAGTCAGCTACAGAGATAATGCTTCTGTTATCAACTTACTTATTTTAAAAAGAAAAACAAGAAAGAAAATCAACAACAAATGCAGAGATTTTTGTTTAAGAATTTCAGAAATGAGGAAAGGCTTCAATTCCATGGTAATTAGTGAGGACAAACTTCTAGAGTCTTCTCACCTCTCCCCTGTTCTACCCTATACCAAGTTTTTCAAAGATCCTAAGATATCTGCACTAATTAATGAAACTTTTCTTGCTATGAAGAAGTAGCTCATCAGTATTATTTTCTGAAACTCAAGCTCCAGTTTTCAATAATAGATTTAGTAAGAGAAAAATAGATAAGGGTTAAAATCCAATATAGGAATAACGACAAAGTCCAAACACTTCCGTATAAGACTCTGGTACCTCAA